TATTGTCACGATAGTAGAACTAGTCAAACTGGGTAGAAATGAATCTGAAACTATTGAAATGTATATATGTAGTATGACTAGTTACACTAGTATTATCCAGATATATGTAGTATGACTAGTTACACTAGTGCTACTGATATATGTAGTATGACTACTTACACTAGTATTGCCCAAATATATGTAGTATGACTAGTTACACTAGTATTACCCAAATATATGTAGCATGCCTAGTTACATTAGTATTACTACAAATGTAGTAGAATTAGTAAAACTAGTATTATTGACAGAGTTTTTGTATTGTTTTGGCAGGATATAATTATGAGGGAGCACGTGATCATATATTTCAAATGCCAATGTCGCATGTATAGCTTGATGATGAAGACATCAGGGGAGAAGATAACTCTCTCCATGTTAGAAGCTTACCCAAAATCGAATGTTTGAAATGACTGGAGAAGATGCTACGTCCGTGGAGCCATTTGGAAGATAATTTCGACTTTTTAATTTATTTCACACGGTTCTCTACTTCTTATCTATCATTGTTATTGGGCACACAAAGACTAGAGAAGATGCTATGTCCATGGAGTCATATTTTCTAAGAGCGTTGAATGATATGAATTATTTTGGGTTGTAATGTTTCTAATCTTCCTTCATTGTTTACATTCCACATGAAATTGATAATATCATGGTAGTTGGAGGTGAAGAAGAATATATCTTCTTCACTATATCTTTGTGTTATGGTTGTTGTTTAGATTTGTACAATTGGAAATACTAGGTAAAACTATGTTTGTTTTGTTTTTTGATTTATACTACTGGTATTACTAGGTAAAACTATGTGCACCATCAAATTTACACATGTGCGAGTCAAGTTTACACATGTACGCCGTCAAATTTGGGGGAAAACCCAAAAAAAATGGGAGAATTTCAATTTTGGGACACGTGGACGCCGTCTTATCCACGTGTGCGCCATTTTTTTCCACCACAGCGCAGCGTTTTTTAAACATAGTTGTACCCAAGGTATCGGTTGTACCAATTTTCTACATAGTTGTACTTTTGGTGTTTTTCAGTTTTACCAGTAGTACATATTCTTAAAAATTGCTTATCTAATTGTACACTTGAGTGAACTTTATAATTATAGAATTCTTAATGTTTTTTGTAATCATATGTTAAAAATATATAAAATTGTAAATTTTTCATCCTAAGTTGGTGTTTTTATAAAAAGTGAACTTAAAAGTATAAGGAATATGTTGTATGGAGTCTATTAAAACAATCCGATATGATATAATTTTTTTTTCTCAATTAATTCATTTAAAATCATTTATAAGAGTTCATTATCACTTGATAGTCAGTGTAATATTTAGTGTTGGAAAAAACAAATTCGAAATTCAAATTCCTTCATAAGTTATACCAGCTTCACCAGTATTACCAAATCTCATCATTAGTAGTACTTGTTATGTTTTACGGAAAGTCGGCCATTTCATACCCGACTTAAATTCAAGTTTTCAATTCATACCTAACAGTTTATTATGTGCTAAAATATACCCAATCTTTTTAAAAATTCAAATTTCATACCTGAATTTACCAAATCATGCGAAATCATACATTCCTGCTGACGTGGATGTCACGTCGTTGATGATGTTGATAACATAGCTGCAACGTCCTTGATGACGTCGTTACCACGTCATCATCACCTTAGAAAATAATTTTTTTTTCTCTTGACCTTCTTATTATTCATTATTACCATCCGATAGAACTGTGAAAATTTACTTTTTTTTTAATGTAAGCATTTAAAATCTTATTTTGATACTTATAACCAGTATTTTAGCCGAATATATTATTTAAACCGAGTTTATAAATCCAAAATTCCTAATTCAACTTCTAAAACTCTTCAAATCGTGTTTAGTGAAGAACATAAACCCTACAATAATCGTATATAGTTACCAAAAAACATTTTTAAGTTAAAGACAAAAAACAAGAAAACTTAATTTATAAATATTGATTATTAGTATCTAAATAAGATTTCAAATCTTTTAATAAAAAAAGTAGTTTTTTTTTACAGTTTTGTTAAATGATAGTAATGATGAAGAAAAAGATCAAGCGATTTTTTTTAAGGTGGTGATGATGTGGCAATGATGTCATCAAAGACGTGGCAGTCACGTCATCAACATCATCAAAAATGTGGCATCCATGTCAGCAGAATGTATGATTTTGCATGATTTGGTAAATTCATATATGAAATTTGATTTTTTTTAAAAGACTCGGTATATTTTGGCACATAAAAAACTGTTAGATATGAATTGAACACCTGAATTTAGGTCGGGTATTAAATGGCCGACTTTCCCTAGTTTTACCCATTTGCCATAGAAAAAAAAACATAGTATTACATCAGAAAAAAATAGTGTTACATAGTTGTCCAAGTCGAAACTGTTTTACAAATCATAAAGTGCAGATAAAATCAAATACTATGATTGCCAAATAACAACCATAAACAAAACAAAACATAACCTCCACTCTCCACAGTTGCTCGGGCAATTCTGGTGGAGTGATGACCTCCACATACAGAACATATCTACGGTTATTTTTACCTGAAGCTATATAGACACCGACATCCTTATCGTCACAAATGTAAATCTCTTCCTATGGTTCCAACACCACCATTGTACCTCATTTGCAATTTAACCTTACTTTCATCTAACCCTAGCTTCGTGCATATCCTACCTTTTAACATGGAGAGAGTTATCTTCTCTCCTGATGTCTTCATCATCAAGCTAGACATGCGACTTTCGCATTTAAAATATATGATTACGTTCTCCCTCATTGTATCCTGCCAAAACAATACAAAAACTCTGTCAGTTATACTAGTTTTACTAGTTGTACTACAATTCTGGGTAATACTTGTATAACTAGTAATACTACATATATCAGTAATACTAGTATAACTAGTCATACTACATATATCAGTAATACTAGTATAACTACTAATACTACATATATCAGTAGGGTTCAGTTCTACCAAGTTCGACCAGTTCTACTATCGCAAGAAGAACACAAATTGGATGTTTCGGGTTCAAATCTATAATTCACTACGATTCGGCAACTTAAATCCATTTGTTACCTATTTAGAGACCTAATCGACCCATAAACTATGCATAAACTTCCATTGTTCATACCAAACACCATAAGCCCAAATAATTGGATTGAATCTCTAAATATGTAAATCCAAAAGGAGTTCATTTTCAAGCTCTATGTAGTTCGGGGAATATACTTGGACTTTGCATGTCGACGCAGCTCGCCGGAGGAGAAGAAACGGCAACAATGCAGCGAAATCTTTGTCGGAGGAGACGCAATGGAGCTCGAGAGGAGAAGCTCTTGTGGTTTTTTTTTATAGTTTTGATTTTTTTTTTGTTTAATTTTAATTCAATTACAAAATATAAATCATAATTATAAATATAAGGATATAATCGTCTTCACATATTTCATTAAAGAAGTAAAGGATATGTAGACTTGTTTGAGATATAAGAAGTTTTGGCTTAACAAAAGGGGACATGGCAGACGTTTTCTCTATGAGACTAAAATACATTTAAACATCTAAGAAGATTTAATTTTTCATCGAGTAAAAGGAGGACTATCCCCATGAATTGACCATCTTTCTTGATGTTGCGAGCATCCCAAAAACAAAGTAGACGACCAACAACCTATTGAGCGGAGCGACCAAGATGTAAATCATCAAAAGCAACATAGTTTGCTTCAGCAGGAATTGCAACAACATCAACTACAACCATTTTCAGAATGTATAGTATTTTCAGATGGAAAGTGGAAATTGTGTTTGGGGATGGTGGGAGATGATGAATTTATAGTAGTTTAGGAGACGATCTATAGGCGGTTTATGATTTACTCCAATTTCAGTTTGTTTGTAAAAATTAAACTCATGAATTAAGTAGCAAGTAGTGGAATTTCGTACGAATTAACACATGTATTTAAGTACCTTATTTATGAATATATGTTGATGTTTCAGCTTCTAGTAGACGAAGTTCTTGGATACATGCGGCGTAGATCAAAATAGATGGATCGAGAAGATGAGTAAAAGAAAGGAGAACACATGTTTCATCGTAAAAATTGGATCTTAGGCCCAATATAATAAATATAGGCCCAATATAATAAATATAGGCCCATTTTCCAGAAAATGAACATATTCATTTTGACAAAAAAAATTGGAGTCTTAAAAGCCCAAACAAAAAATACATGATATTTTTCGGCTTTTTTCCTTTTAATAAGAAGAGCACGTATTTCAGTTTTTGGATATTGTACTGTAATTTTTCAGTGAAAACAAAAACTGGTAATGCCAGCTAATTTACTCCTCAAAATTAGCTGGTAATTTTGTTTCTAAAAGAGCGATGAAAAATACTTAATTTTCCCTCAAAATCTAGTCAACGCAAATAAAAAAGGGGAAAATCCTATTAATGTATTAAACTCTTAATTTTACCCATATTATACCTATATTTGCTAAGTGTATAAAAGTTATTTTTATCATCACATTATATAGTATATATATATATATATATATATATATATATATATATGTTTTTAAATAGCTTTTGCTTTAGTTTATAAAAATTCTTCTCAGAAGATAGATTTAAAATTTTGTTGTTATTGTGAGATGCATGTTACATCTTTTACAAATTTTGGTGTTTGTGTGAGATTCACATTACATCTCTAAATTTATTTTTGATAACAAAGTTTCTGAAATTTGGTAAATCCACGATTCTATATACACATTGGCAATATATTATTCTATTCTAAAAGTAAAAATAAAACACTTAAAACTATTACAAAATTTCACAGTCTAAGAACAAATTAACCTAAAAATTACTCTTAGTAAAAAGAAACAATGAGAGTAAGATATATTAGTCTATTAGTCTTTTTCTCAAAAAAAAAAAAAAAGATATATTAGTCTTAGTAAAAACAAAACTTATATATAAAAAATATTACATTAAATGCACCAGCTACACATATAAGAACAAATATGTTTATATAGATAGTAATGAATTACCTGGTCAATTAATTTAATAAGAGATTTTCTGGCTGTTATTTAGAATTAATGAGTCCACCAAAGTGATAAGAATCCTAGAGAGTAGAAGCACCTTTCTTTGCTATATAAACAGTCTTTGTGCTAACAAACTAACAAACCACACAGAAGAAAAAAAAAATTGATGGGGATGAAGAAAGTAAAGCTATCTTTGATAGCTAATGAAAGATCAAGGAAAACCTCATTCATGAAGAGGAAGAACGGGGTATTTAAGAAACTCAACGAGTTGTCAACTCTATGTGGTGTCCAAGCTTGTGCTCTCATCTACAGTCCATACCAATCGGTCCCGGAGTCATGGCCATCAACGAAAGGCGCTAAAGAGGTGGCTTCGAAGTTTATGGAGATGCCGTCGACAGCCCGCAACAAAAAGATGATGAGTCAAGAAGCTTATTTGATGGAGAGGATTACTAAAGCAAAAGAGCAACTAAAGAACCTGGTTGTTGAGAACAAAGAGTCACAGGTTAGACGATTTATGTTTGATTGTCTTGAAGGCAAGATGTCGGATTATCGTTATGATGCAAAAGACCTTCAAGATTTGCTATGTTGTATAAATCGATATCTTGATCAGCTTAACAGAAGGATCGAGATCCTTAAAGAAACCGGTGAGTCTTCTTCCGTCTCTCCTTTTCCTACTACAATTGGGGTTGCAGATATTCTTGATGCTGCAAGTCCTAGTGTTTTTGCGGCCGATATGACTCCTTCTCATGTTGTTGCGGATGCATCTCCGGTAACTGCTCCCAGTGGATTTTTTGATCATATTCAATATCAAGATATGAATATGAATCAAAATCAGCATGAGCCGATTCAACACCATGTTCCTACTAACTTTTGTGAGTTTTTCCAAAATCAGAATATAAATAACGTTCAATACCAGGCTCCGTACAATTTGTTTGATCAGATTCAACAAGGAAGCTACAACATGAATTTGAATCAGGATTATTCAAATTATAACATGAATTTGAATTTGAATCTGACTTCAAATCAACAACAATCATTCATGAATCCGATGGTGGAACAACAAATGGGTTATGCTGGAGGGCGTGCAAGCATTCCTTTCATGGATGGGAACTACTATAACTACCACCAACTACCAGTCGTTGATCTTGCTTCCACCAGTTACATGCCTTCCATCACCACCACCACTACCGGTGTTTATGATCCTTACATCAACAACAATCTCTAATCACAAGATGGAGGTTTTCTAGTTTTAAGTGTTCAGTTGTTTGTATTTGTGTTTTCTTCATTTCGGAAGACAAATGTTTAATTTTGTTTATTTTATAATTATTGTTGTAATGGTTGAAGGTTCTATCTTTAACTTAATTATGTATTTGATTACTTTAACTACAACATTTTTTTTTTTATATTCGAAAAGTTTAAAGTCTGAGTGGTACAATATTTAGAAGAAAATTTTCAATTGAATTCTTTAGGACCCTAAATATAGAATAATTTTTGTCCCCAGCAATTTGAAGTAAGAACTATTCTTTTGAAAAAAAAATTACTTTTGATAACAAAAAATAATAATTACTCTCATTCTTGTGGGCTCAAAATTCTTTTGCACCAGTAAGACCCTTATTCATTTTGAAAAGAAAAAAAGTTTTAGTAGTTTTAAGTCTTTCAATTAAAATTAAATACTAGATTTTAACCTACGGTATACCGCGGATGATTTATTTTTTAAAGTTAGTATTTGTAAGATTTTGCAAATTGTATTTTCTTATTTTAGATTACAATTTTTATTAAGTAACGGTATACTACGAGTCCACGGGACAATTGTTAATAAACTGAGGATTTAACCCGTATTAAAACGACATGTTAATGATATTTTAAAATTTTATAAATATTGATTCTAACCCGTCCTTCATATAAACCCATTCTGAAATGTAACCTGTCTCGTAATTTTTTAACCCGTCATGTGATTTGTTTTCTAAAAGTAGTGATTTTAAAATTTAATGATTATTTATTATATATAAAAGTTTACAAATTGTATATTCTCTAAAATATTTATATTTTAATAAACTGAGGATTTAATCTGTATTAAAGTGGCATGTTAATGATATTTCAAAATTTTATAAATATTGATTCAAACTCGTCCACCATATAACCCTGTTCCGAAATATAACCCGTCCTCTAATTTCTTAACCGGTCCTGTGATTTGTTTTCTAAAAATAGTAATTTTAAAAATTTAACGATTATTTATTATATATAAAAGTTTGCAAATTGTATCATTCTCTAAGACATATATATTTTATAATTTACAATTGTTATTAAATAACATTATACCACGGGATAATTTTTGGTTTTATACAATCTTTTCTAAATGAGATATATATATATATATATATATATATGTCTAATATTGGTGGTATTAAAAAAAAAAGATTTAATCCGTATTGAAGCGGCTGATTAATGATATTTAATTTTTTTTTATTGTTGATTCAAAAACCTGTCCAGTCAAACCCGTCCCGCCAAAAATCCCATTTATTTTATTAATATTGATCTTATTTATGATATGATTCTTAATCATTGGCTAAATAATTTCGTCTATGTGGAACGTTGAACACACATTTTTCGTCAATTAAATAATATATGTCCGTTTTTAAAATTTCGAATCACAGTACAGTAAAACCTCTATAAATTAATAAAGTTGGGACCATGAAATTTTATTAATTTAGAGAGGTATTAATTTATCGATAAATTAATAATTATTAATTTATAGAGAGATTTTACTAATTTTTATAATTTTTTTAAAAAATTCTATCTTAAAATAATTTTTTTTTTATAATTAAGCAATATCTTTTTAAAATAATTGCAAGTAGAGAAGCAATTATTAAGTTTAAAAAATAACACAAACGTTTTTCGAATAATAGAGTCATATTTCATTAAAAAATTTACATATAATATTTTAAATATATATCATAGTAATTCATATATAACATATATAAATTTATATCATATATATATATACATATATATTAAGTTAAATATACATATATATATATATTGATTAGTTTATACAATTATTAATTTATAATATAGATGGGACCATATGTTTACATGGGATTTTCAAAAAAATTATTATCTTATTAATTTATCGATTTATGTCATATTTTACACTGGTCCCAACTCGGGACCGGAAGAATTTATTTATTTAGAGAGGTTATTAATTTATAGAGGTTTTACTGTATATGCAGAAAAAAAATTGATTTTTATTTTATTTTATGTATTATATGATGATTTAAAACAGTTAAAAAAAATCAAAGAAATATGATAGGAGAATCATAATTCTAAAAATGTACTTCAAAAATACTAGTATAGATATAACTAAACATGTAATATTAGAGATTTGTGCAAATCACCTAGAAACTGTTTTTCTCCGTTAAAATATAACTTTTGATAAATAAAAAACTTGCAAAAAATCAGCATAAAATGATAAAACTTACAAAAAATACGTCTGCACACCATCACAGCCTCGACTCTAGTATATATGTGTATGTGATAATATTCAGCATAAAATCTACCTTGATTTTTTTTATTTGTATGTTAAAAAAATATATTCTTAGTCTTTTATATGGCCTTCTCCGACATGTTATGAAGATTTAGTTTTAAGGGTTTTCATTATATGTTTGTTGGGTTGTGCAAATATTAATTATCTGTTGTTCATTTGATTTATCTTTGAATTTCGAAGGTGCTAATTTGATAATTTCTTGTTTGTATTTCATAAAAGACTTATTATTACAATTATTTAGTTTAGTTACAAATAGTACTATATATGATTTCACTAGGTTCATTAGAAAATTTGCTGAGTTGACTACTCGACGGCTACACTCACCCTAGAGAGATCCGTCAAATGTTAAAAGCCCAAAACACCTCCTAATATCCAAAAAAAATTTTTTTTTGGTAAAATTGACCATCACACATTTGATCTGTCCACTTGGACTGATACTCAAATGGCACTATATTAAATTAATGACTTTTTTTTTTTTTTTTTTTTGTCAACAGCTTAAATTAAAGCTCAAAAGAGCCATTTTTTTTTTTTTTTTTTTTTTTTTGACAGCTATTAAATTAATGACTAATAGCTGTCAAAAAAAAAAAATTAAGGACTAATAAAGGCATAAATTTTTTATAACACAAGATTTTATTTTACAGTATGCAAACTCTAAGCATATGGCACTTGGTTATTTGGGCTTAGTAAAAATTCTATAAATTAATGCTCGATAGATAATATCTTCGATCCCAAATAAGTGTTTTAGCTCATTTAATATATTGATAAATTAATAACTTTATAAACTATTTAAATATCATAGTTTTGATATTATTAATTTATAGAGGTTTCGACATTATTGATTTATAGAGCTTTTACTATTATAGGATGTAAAAACGAAAAAATACATTGATATTGGGTGCTTATTAAAATATGAAAAAGGAGAATATATCTATAAACCAAATTATCTTTCTTTTCTTTAGCTACATGTCATGGACCAAAATCTCTATTACAGTTTTGTCGTTACTTGTAGTTGCATCCATTAAAACTCATACAAGGGTGTACTAAACTCGGAATAATGATTTAACACATCTCTACATGATAATCTAATCAAGGCGCAACATAAAGTCTTCCTCTTTCTCTATCTCCACTATAGTCACTCTTTGTATTTCCATACTCTCTGGCACATAGGGTAATGAGCTTGGCTCGTCTGTGAATTAACCCACTTCAGTATACAATGAGATGAAAAGAATGGTTGTAAGCTCCCCAAACTGCCCAGTAACCGTAATAGTCTACATGTGTAGGAACTTACTTTGAGGGCAATCATCCCCGGGGAGTTTGCAATCAGAACAAGAACTGTCAAATGGCATTCGACATTATCCACATGTCTCATCTTGAGCATCTCAAGTACCCCATCCCATCTAAAGTTTCTCACAATGCAAAAGTTTTGGTGTATGAACTGTAGGAGAATCCAATAAAGGATTTATTGAAGCTAATGAAATAGAAAATTGTCAAAATACTATAATTTGAAATAGCTTATTAGAGTTTTATTGTTCAAAAATATAAAAAGAGGAAAAAAACTTAGATTGACACAGAAGACAAAGAGATTGTGGATTAATATTTCATAAATGTGTTGAATGAGAGTTGTCTCAAAACAATCCTCAGAATTACATCTTTTGGTCACATAAGAATTCTATGTATATCACTTTCCAAAGAAACCTAATATACATGGGCTTACAATAACACATTAGATTTTTTTGGGTTTGTGTGTTTAGCTTCTCAATACATTAGACATTTTTGGGCTTTTGTTTAGCTTCTCCCTTAAATGTCTTATATGAAATGGAATTGTATGTAATACACGTATACTAGTAGGACAATGAATTTACTCTGCTTTTCGGAGTTAGTAGACATTGTAGCACTGAGAGTCAAGGAAAAAAGATTGAAAAAAGATTTAGACAAAATCCTAAATGCTGGCAGATTGAACTAATCTTAGGGCTTGATTGGTTCTCCCGCTAGCACCCTCCTAGCGGTTGGTTGCGGTTGTTAGCGGTTGGTGTCAATCATGGAAACCGTTCCATATCGCTTCAAACCGCTCGAAATCGCTGAATTTCAAAAGCTCCTTCCCGCAAGCGTTTGCGGTTGCAGGCGGTAGCGGTTGGATTTTAAAAAAAATTAATTAAAAAATAAATCAAATGTTTACTTATAATTATTATAATATATATTAATCCTATATATATCTTTCATCTTTCTATCACGTTCTCATGAGAAAACCCTAATCAATATTCTCAAACCCTATTCTCTCAATTATGTCTTCCACCCAAACTGATGAAAATCAAGAATCAAACGTAAGTATCATATATCCTTTTATTTATTTATCACTTCATGTGCAACTCTTCGAATATTTTTCATGACATCGTTTTTTCTTTTCATTATGTATTGGTTTGCTTGATGATTAATATATGTTTTGATTTCTTTTCTCGAATAGAAACTCACTTGGTCAGATGAGATGACCCGTCTCTTGTTAGAATTAATAGCACTAGAGAAACAAGCTGGAAATTCTAGAGGCAAAAGTTTGAGTGAGAAAGGAAAAGAAAACGTTCTCACGGAATTTAAAAGCAATTTCCACTAACCTTAAATTGGAACAAAATTAAGAACAGACTTGATACTTTAAAGAAGCAATACGAAGTCTATCGTAAAATCACGTTTGGGTCGACTGGGCTTGGAACTAATCAAAGGACAGGAAGTCTTGATGCCCCTGACCATTGGTGGAAAGATAAAATTAAGGTACGTAACCACATAGTTGTATTTATATATTAATTTCTTGTTTTCTATTTTTATTTTGATTGAAATTTGTTTTTGGTTTATAAGGCTTATCCTGAAGCTGCTAAACTTCGGTCGCACCCACTGCGGTTTATACCACTATCTTGTTACAAAATTTCTTTATTTTTAATAATTATTTAGTGTTTTATTTATGGTTTTAATTATTAAGAATGTTCAATTTTTCTAATATTATCATAATAATATATTGGTTTTTTTATTTCTTTTGGTCATTTTTTTATTTCTTTTGGTTTACCAGGCCCTTAATCTATCCTATATGAATCGGTTGAGAGTTGATAACAAGAATTCTCGTAAACTAGAAAGTCATCGATGTTACTAACCAAAATTCATGAATCGTAAAACCAATGACTATGGGTCCGAATGTCACTCCGATTTAGGCGTGACTCCGATTTGAGAGAAGGAGCGATGTAGTTTGGGTGCGGTGTGATTAATCAAATTTATGAATGGTAACGTGATTCGGGTACGATCCGTTATCTTATTTTTCTCGAATGACAAAACGATTAGGGTGCGATTAGATGACAAAATTACTTAAAAGGGTACTAGTTATATTATTATTGTTATTTATGCTTTACTTATTTATTTGATGTATTTTTCCGCAAAAACGAGTTATTCATTTATGTATTTTTACTAAAAACACGATTCTATTTCTTCCTGCCAATAATATATTTCCGGTTTTCTCGCCAAAAACGTGATTTCACGTTTTCCCGACAAAAACATAATTTCACGTTTTCCCGCCAAAAATACATTTCTGGTTTTCCCGCCAAAAATATGATTTCCGGTTTTCCCGCCAAAAACGTAATATAACGTTTTCCCGCCAAAAACGTAATTTCACATTTTTCGCAAAAAACGTGATTTCCGGTTTTCCCGCCAAAAATATGATTTCCGGTTTTCCCGCCTAAAACGTGATTTTCGGTTTTCTCGCCAAAAACGTAATTTTTGGTTTTCTCGCCAAAAACGTGATTTCCGGTTTTCCCGCCAAAAACGTAATTTCACTTTTTCCCGCCAAAAACGTAATTTTACATTTTTCGCCAAAAACGTGATTTCTGGTTTTCCCACCAAAAATATGATTTCCGGTTTTCCCGCCAAAAACGTGATTTCCGGTTTTCCCGCCAAAAACGTAATTTCAAGTTTTCCCGCCAAAAACGTGATTTTCGGTTTTCACGGCAAAAATATGATTTCCTGTTTTTCCGCCAAAAACATAATTTCACGTTTTCCCGCCAAAAACGTGATTTCTGGTTTTCCCACCAAAAACGTAATTTCACGTTTTCTCGCAAAAAACGTGATTTCAGGTTTTCCCGCCAAAAATATGATTTATGGTTTTCCCGCCAAAAAACGTAATTTCACGTTTTCCCGCCAAAAACGTAATTTCACATTTTCCCACCAAAAACGTAATTTCTGGTTTTCTCGCCAAAAAAGTAATTTCACGTTTTCCCGCCAAAAACATTATTTCCGGTTTTCCCGCCAAAAAATATGATTTCCGGTTTTTCCGTCAAAAACGTAATTTCATGTTTTCCCGCCAAAAAGATTATTTCCGATTTTCCCCTCAAAAACGTTATTTCCGGTTTCTCTGCCAAAAACATGTTTTCCCGCCAAAAACGTGATTCTACGTCTTTCCGCCAAAAACATGATTTCGTGTTTTTTCGCAAAAAAATGTGAATTTCTTTTTTTAGCTAGACCGTGGAATGGTCTTGTGTACCTAATGATCCAATGGAACAGTCTATGGTCGCTCTTGAAGAATCTCGATATGTCCGGACGAAATGAGACTTATATATTACTAGATATGGATCCGTGTGTTGCACGGGTTGCCGATCGAGATTATCATTCTTAATATTTTTATTTTATTTTTGTAAGCTTAACTAAAATTCTATAAACATATATATTTTAGAAAATGTAGCATAAATATTTCTAAATATAGATTTATTAGCATAATGCACAATATAAAACATTATTTATAGTTATGTTATAATAATTATTAAATTATCTAATATAAATATTGGCCTATTTATAAAAATTATATAATTTTTTTCTTATTATAAGTTATGAAGTCATAAATATTCATATGTTGCATTATTGAATTTTAATAAGTTATTTACATTCATCGGAAGAGTGTGTTACATCTTATAATTTCAATGTGGGCAAGATGGAAACAAAACTATGATAATAAGAAAAGATAAAATTATAAGTTACGTAAACATATGAACGATATATGTATAATATGTAAACATGTAGTCTGAGTTACGTAAATATAGATGTTTTTTTAGAAAAGTTTAACGTCATAATAAAATTGTGACAATAAAAGAAGAGAAATATGAGACTGTCTATATCCATGTCATGTAACTTAATTGAAAATATGAAATATCCTCAATTTGCTATATGGCTTTTGTCATTTTAGGCCCACATTATAAATTTCTTCGTTTTTATTATTTCTAATTCTCAAATCTCTATGTATCTCTCATTAGATTTCTCTTATTTTTGTTCGAATTCCTCATTCTTTCTCCTTCTATCCCTCTCGTCGGATTTCTTCACAACCATATCTTTATTTTATTTTTTTCCCTATCTCAATTTCTCGCATTCGTCGGGCATCACTACCGAGTCTCACTACTCTGACCCACCACCACAACTAAATCTCACTACTATCACAATAACCACCACCATCAATACCGAATCTCGCTAATTCCGACTCACCACCTTTATCAATATTTACCGCCGCCACCACCACCAAGCTTGAATCCCCATCATCAACATCAACACCACTGCTACCGCCTCTTATCCTCTTTCCCCAACTTCTCTTATTACTCTACCTTCTTTACCTCCTTCGACATTAGACCAAGCCCCTCTGACAATAGCTCTAGTCTATGTCTATCGCCGTTTATAATTATTAATTTGCCTTAATTATATTCATTAGATTTGAATATTACATGCTATTTTTAGAAAAACATCGTGATTCGAAATACTTTTTATAATTGATATGATATAATATAGTTAAGAAATTAGTTTGCTTAATGAGAAAATATGAGACAATCTATTTGTTTATATAAAGGTGACTATTTACTATCTTTTTCTTATAGGATTAGTAACTCATTGCATAATTTTCTTAAAAAATTTTCTAATTTTAAATTTTTTTCTTGTACAGTTAGTAACTTATAAATAAAACGTTTAGCATAATTTTATAATTTCGATTTTTATGTAAATATACATATAAATTCTCTATATATATGTATAGTTTGCTAGATGGCAAAAACTCTTACGTAAATATATGTACAATTTCTTTATAATTAGCTTTTTAAAATTTAAAATTGTTTAAATTTATAATTATCCTTTTACTTTTTTTAAAAAAAGGAAAATTTTATTTGACAAATGTCAAAATCTCAGATCGAAAAATTTAACACGTATCATACTAGAGTTAGTTGGCTATAGCTTAGTGATTTGAGTTCTAGAACGGTTTGATAATAATCCTAATTAATTTTGCTAGATCTACTATTTGTTTGTATCCTGAAAAATTCTCTAAACCTGACGTTTTAATCCATCTGAATTTACACTTGATTTAATTGCTTTTCTGTCTTTTTATTTGCTTGATTTTATT